CCACAGCTTTCTGAGCCTCATCAGCATACTTGTACCTCACGAACGCAAACCCTCTCGAATCCCCAGTCCTTCATTCACCGAACAAGCTTAACCATCATAAAAAATAAAATAAAATAAAAACTACCAAGGAAGAAAAAAAACCTAACGATCAATACCTTCGATCCCTCGGAATGAAGATATCCACAACCTTTCCATACTTGTCGAAGAGAGGAAAGAGATCATCGGCCGAAGTTCCTTATCCAAAATCAATCAAAAAAAAATCAGGGGGGTAAATATGAAAAAAAAAAGGAATAAGAAGGATTTAGAGAGAAAGTGAAGCGTTTACGAAAGGTGATGTTGAGGACGAGGAGAGAGAAAGTGTCTTTGATGTCGGGAGGACCGGTTCGGCCGAAGTGCGACATTGCCACGGCGGCGAGAGAGGAGAGAGAGGAGAGAGAAAGTTAGGGTTAGGGTTTCGAAGAGGGGAGGGGGAGAGGAAGGAGATTGGGGGGGTGGGGATAAGGCGTGATAAGAGGGACATTTTAATGGGCTGTTTTGCCCCTGCTATTTGGGAGTAATTACTATTTCTGACATAATTACTGTGCCTCACATTAGTTCGTCGATGGTCCTAAAGCTGCTGTGCATGCGGCCCAATTACACAGTTGAGGTTTGAAACACGGCCTTCCCCTCCCCACCCCCACCCTCTCCTCTCAAAAAAATGAAAAATAAAAGGAAGAAAAAGAAGAAGGGAATACCAATTTGATTATACGCAACCATACACAATTTCCCAACCAAGTTATAGCAAGGAAATAATATAAAAAAGAAATAATCAAGAGATTTGACCACGTCCTAGCACGTATAAAACGTAGAGTTTCTTTGACGCTGATAAGGAGTTGTTTGGCATGCAAAAATGTGTTCAATAAATTATATGTAGTTGTAGTTGCAATTTAATTTTTTGTTACAATCATGTTATTTTTACAAGGCTCTAGCCTCTACTTACCCCCTAAATTATTAAATTTGTTCCTTCTTATCCATGAACTATTTTTAATGCTTATATACTCACTAAGCTATTGAATTAGTCACTTACCCTCTGAATTATTTTGGACACATCTTGTCCCATCGACTATCACTTTCTTCTCATATTTAGCTAGGATGTCCATTAAAGCAAAACCAACAAGCCTTCAAACTCACCAGAGGATGCCACATCAGGTTCCTCTTTCACAAAATATTTTGACATGTGTCATTCTCTCTAAACCGTCCATCTAATAAATAAGATCCTACAATTAATTTCAACCTTTAATCTAAAAATCTATATATTTAGTAAAATCCAATATTTCTTCAATCACTATATATTTTATACCTAATTCTAAATATCCCCAAAAAAAAAAAATCTTTCGTTCCTTTTCCACGAGCCTCCCCCTTCAGTAAAAAAATCATCTTCCTCAAAAAAATATTACGATCCCCTGTTGAGAACTTTGATCGTGGACATTGGATAATCGGAGATCCAATAAAACGCACACTATGTGATTATTTGAGGATTTAATTTTCTATATAATACCCTATAAACATTTTTTATGTTGATTTTTTTATATTGAAAAGTTTTATTATGCATATTGAAAAGTTTTATTATGTTGATTTGAATAATTATTCAAAAATTATATGTTCTGCCATAGTTAATAATTTGCTTGAATTGCATAAACTAGTATAAGTAATTAACTATGTAGCTTACAAAAATGTCATTATATATGTTGTTTAATATTTCAGATCATGATTGGAAAAGTAGAAGATTGAATTTTAAGCAAAATTTTGATAATGGATATCGAATATTGGTAACTTTCCTAATATTTTGTTATTTGAATGATTTATTCCAAATTATACGCAATATGTTCTAGTTTTTATGTTTAGATTAGAATTTAAATTGATTAGAAAATTTCTTTGATGTATGAACATGATTATACTAGAATATTTAAGCTTCGTAGCATTATTTGAGGCTATGCAAATAATGATCACAGTCTGAATAAGCATGATTATATTAAAATTTCATGATTTGAATCATTATTCAAAAATTATCATGTTTTACAGCAATTTAGATTATGCTCAATTTTAAAAAATAATTGTGGATGGTCAAAATATATTTTCACTTAGGATGATGATTAGCTTGGATCCAATAAGTGAATGCCCATGGGCTAAACACTTCCAATGAGCCCAAAGTCTAGCCTACAACAAGCTGCAGTGGAGATCGCCTAATGACTGAAGCGAACCTCGCCAAGCAGCCCACATCGACTCAATTCGACTAAGCTAGACACGATTCGACCCTCACGACACGTCCCAAGCCAAGTCAAAAGGTGTCATTAGTCGGCCAAGCCTAGAGTCGAATCTTGTGTCAAATTCGAATCCATAGACGAAGCTTGCAAAACAACCCGCGTCGACTTGACCCGACCAAGTCAAAGCACGAGTTGATTCCCACGACACGCCCCGGGCCGAGTCAAAAGGCGTTATTAGTCGGCCAAGTCTAGAGTCAAATTCTTTGTTAAATTCGAACTCATAAGCGAAGCTCACTAACTAATGAACTTCACCCACGTCAAGTGGACAAAGTCATCCACTTCCAAAGAAGGTGCACCTACGTTTGAAGCCACCTTTTCCAATGTCTTCAGCGAGCTTCGTCAAGTCTGTGAAATCCGCCCAAATAGCAGTTTCAGAGCTATTTTCGGAGGATAACCGCTCCCTACTAATTCCTGCTTTAATGGCCACTTAATCCACAATTAAGGGGGCCATTAACTCTCTCTTTTAGCCTATGAAAGGAGAGGAAATCATTCATTTAAAAGGACAAATTCCGATTGATTGGAGAATTAGAATTCTGATTCAATTCTGGCAGAAGAGTCATCACACGCATCGCACTCGCGATCTTATTGAGAAACATTGCTAAGAGAAGATTGAGCTAGCTTCTAAGCAATTCAAGTCTCATCAACAGCAAAGACCCATTGCCTTGATCGGTGTGTCAATGAAGTACAAAAATGACGCTCCACCAACACATAGAAAAGAGCCCCAAGAAATATAATTTTTTCTTTGTTTCATTGTATTTCCTTTATAGTAATTTGCATCATTGCAATGCAAAAGAACCCAAAACAGGATGGCAACTCCGCTAGGGACATCGTTCTCTCCAAGGAGAAGATTGTGTTGCACACTGACATTAAGACCCCAGGGCCTTTTGTTGAAACGCTGGTCATTGAATTTGACCAAGTGAAGTTCGAAGAATCTATTTCCATGAACAAAATCTCTGCAACGGCGGCTATACACAGTTGTCACAAAATTTGCTGCAATGCGAATCTCAGGTCTAAACTGACCCCCACGTGTGAAATGGCTACCTTCGCCGAAGACAGTTTAAGCTTAGCTGGAAGCCAAACAAACCTTGCCAAGGGCGAAGGAATTTCGACTCTCGCCTCAAGCGAAGATCAAGATGTTACCACATCTGATCTCGAAATTCAGTCCTCAACTCCTTTAGGAGTTCGATTTAAAGCGTCTCGCAACGCTCGCTGTGCTTCCCCGATAGAAGCAAAGAGTGGGGGTAACTCCTCATCTAAATTCCCTCAAGGGAATTATATCATCATTGATGATCCTGTTGAATGAACATCTGGCCAACGTTGTCGTAAGCGACATTCACACTCTAAAGCCAAGATCAACGAAGTTGGCACCGATCTAAAAGAATTCATAGTCTGAAGAGAGCTCACCAATGTCAGCATTATGTGACCCTTAGAGAAGTGGTTTTGGCAGTTTAAAAGAGTTGCCAATGTAAAGAATCAATCTTCAACCACTCAGTCATGTTCCTAAGCCTTCAGAGGTTTGGACTAAATGACGACGTGCTCAAAGAGGCAAAATGCAAGTGTTCACTATTAACATGACAAGTGTGACTTCTAGAGACGATGAGGAGAGTACAAATAGCTCACCTGAACCGATATACTCTCCTAGCATTAGATCTATACTACTAGAAGCTGATGGCATATATCGCAACACTAGGCTAAGGAGAATAGCGGCTATCCCTTTTGATTACTCTTCCATCCCTATGCGGACATCACAGTCTTCATCCTAGATGAGTCAACCCACTTCAGCAGAGCCAACTCCACCATGGTATCGAATCCAACCCCTAGTTCAAGTCAAGAATAACAATGAGCGATAAACATGACAGACAGAGAAGACATTCTGACTCAAATGGCGAATCAAAAGAATGACTCAGACGAATAGATCGAACATCTGGAAGAGATGGTCTCTACAACTTCTACTAGCCTCTCATCCTCAAGCGAGCTTGATACGGGTGTATCTTCTCTTCGGAACTTAGCGATCCTCATGGGAGCTTGAGGATAGATGATTCTCATGATCGCATGAGAATAGAGGTGTCAAACAGTATAAGGGAACACAGGAGAAAGCGTGGAACGAGACGACGAGCAGAAGAATCGAAGTACCCAGTTTTCAGCCTGTGAGTCGACTCATTACAGTCATGAGTTGACTCATCAGGTTGAGTCGACTCATGACTGTCATGAGTCGACTCATCGCTGGTTGTTAAGATTTGTCCAGTTTCTGTCGAGTCGACTCATCACAGTCATGAGTCGACTCATCGATGGTTTCCTGGTTCGTTTGGGATTCTGTTCACGTGTTTTCCTGTTGGTTTTGGGTCTGGTTATTTACCAAACTGCCATCCATGTTTGTACACCTATATAAGGGATTGTTTTAGGGTTTCTAAACATCTTTTAGATCAGATAGTTTAATCCAGAGAGATTAGATTCTAGATTGAGATTTGGAGAGCTTGTTCTTCAATTCTAGAGTGAGATTGTGAGGGAGAGATTATAATCTTTTGTTCTTCATAATCTAGAGAAGGTATTTTCCTTCGCCAAACTGAATTATTCTTGTGTTTGGTCGTCCTCTTCTCAACCCATCTTTTGGTAATTCCGCGACCAAAAGGGTGCTCGCACGGCAACTCGTATCAAGTTGGTATCAGAGCATCAGATCTGGTGAAAAGGGGCATCCTGTGTATGGTCCTTACTCGATCCCAATACAAGAAGCTTGGCGAGATCCTTATTTCATTGGAAGGAGTCCAAGATTTAAGGAAGGAGAAGATGACTGAAGGAGACAATTCAGCGAGGATTGATGCATTGGAGAAGCAGATCGAGACGATAGGTTCGACTCTCACACAACTCGTCAGTCTTATCCATGGAGGTGGCAAACAAGGTGAATCTTCTTCGAAGAAAATTGTTGAGTCCGATGTGAAGAGAGTAGATTCAGATTTCGACGAGGAGGAGGAGACCGTTAAGACTGTATTGCATCAAGGTGGTAAGAATTCTTATCAAAACCTGAAGATTAACTTTAAGGTGGAGATTCCTGTTTATGATGGGAGTGTTGACGTCGAGAGGCTTGATGACTGGATGGAGACGTATTTTACTCTTTATGGCTATTCGTCGAAAGAGAAGATTGTGTTCGTGACTTTGAAGCTTT